ACCATAGTAGGTATAGTTTTGTGTCTGAAGAAATAGAGATGGATGATAATGATTTTGGTGATTTTGGATCTGATCCTTATGAGTTTGCCAATGTGATTGGGGATGGAGATCAACCATTGTACCCTGGTTGTAGAAAGTACACGAAGTTATCGGCATTAGTGAAGTTGTATAATTTGAAGGCAAAATATGGGATGAGTGATGTCTGTTTTACAGAATTATTGATACTTCAAGGCGATTTGCTTCCAGAAGGAAATACAATACCGGCTTCTATGTATGAGGCAAAAAAGACTTTGTGTGCATTGGGGCTGAGTTATGAGAAAATGCACGCATGCCCCAATGATTGCATCTTGTATAGGAAGGAGTATGAGGATTTAACTCATTGTCCTAATTGTGGTATCTCAAGGTGGAAGGAAGGCAAAGATTCAATCTTGAAAGAGGGTGTGCCAGCGAAGGTGGTGTGGTATTTTCCTCCAATTCCAAGGTTTAAAAGGATGTTTCGATCACATGAGACCGCTAAGAGTTTGACTTGGCATGCTGCTAGAAAATCAATTGACGGTTATATGTCTCATCCAGCGGATTCCCCGTCTTGGAAACTTCTTGATGATAAATGGCCCGAGTTTGGTAATGAGCCGAGAAACTTGAGATTGGCTCTGTCATCTGATGGATTCAATCCCCACAGTTCTCTAAGTAGCAGATATAGTTGCTGGCCAGTTATCTTAGTTACATATAATCTCCCTTCATAGCTGTGCATGAAACCAAAGTTCATGATGTTGACCTTATTGATCTCCGGTCCTAAACAACCCGGAAATGATATAGACGTCTACTTGGAGCCTTTGATTGATGATTTAAAATCTTTATGGGATGAGATTAATGGGATTGGAGGAGTGTATGATGCACATAATGGAGAATACTTTACACTCAGAGCTGCATTAATGTGGACAATTAATGATTTCCCCGCCTATGGAAACTTATCTGGTTGTGTTGTTAAAGGATATAAAGCTTGTCCAATATGCGGCGATGATACACCTAGTCACAGGTTGAAAAATGGCCACAAAATTTGTTACATTGGGCATAGAAAATGGTTACCGATCAATCATCCATATAGGAGGCAACTGCAGCTTTTAATGGGAAACCTGAATATGGCACGCCTCCTGAGCCATTAACCGGAGAAGAAGTGCTGCATATGGTTGAAGATGGTGACCGAGTTTGTTGGAAGAAGAAATCAATATTCTTTGATCTCGAGTATTGGAAATACCTTCCTGTGAGGCATGTCCTAGATGTTATGCACATTGAGAAGAATGTTTGCGATAGTATCATTGGTACATTGCTGGAGATCCCTGGAAAAAATAAAGATGGGATTGCTGCTCGATTAGATTTATTGAACATGAGGAAAACTACTGATTTGCAACCCGAGTATGGAGAAAGACGTACTCGTTTGCCTCCCGGGCCTTGGAATTTGTCAAGAGCAGAGAAGAGAGAGGTTTGCAATTCTTTCTATGGTATGAAGGTCCCTGAAGGTTATTCTTCAAATATAAAAAATCTTGTATCTTTACAAGATTCAAGACTTCTTGGCCTTAAATCACATGATTGTCATACCTTAATGCAACAATTGCTCCCTGTGGCAATTCGTTCTGTTTTGGAGTATCCTGCAAGGTATGCAATAACTCGTTTGTGCTTCTTCTTCAATGCTATATGTGCAAAGACTGTTGATGTTTCCAAGCTAGCTAAGTTGGAAGAAGATGTAGTAGTTACTTTGTGTTTGCTTGAGAAGTACTTTCCCCCTTCATTCTTTGATATCATGGTTCATCTAGTAGTACATTTTGTCAGAGAAGTTCGTCTATGTGGCCCAGTATATTTTAGATGAATGTATCCATTTGAAAGATATATGAAAGTGCTAAAGGGTTATGTTCAGAATCGTACTCGTCCCGAAGGTTGCATTGCTTAGCAGTATATAGCTGAAGAAGCTGTAGAGTTTTGTACTGAGCATTTATCTGATGTTAGTACAGTTGGAGTGCCTTCAAGCCAAAAGATGGGAGTTTCAAAGCCATTATCAGGTTGCACAGTGAGCGTAGTTGATCGGGACCTGTTGAACCAAGCACATCTATATGTCTTGGAGAATACGGAGGAAGTCCTACCTTATATCGAGTACGTATGAGTTTTATTCTTTAAGTTTCCATTTTAAATTATTTCTTATGTTTATCTTATATGTTTGGGACCGTAATACTTGAATTTTGTGTGTCATGTAGGCAACATATGATTCACATCCAGACCACTTATCCAAAATTTAGAAAGAGAACAAAGTGGCTGCAGGATAAGCACAATAGCACTTTCATTCAATGGCTACGCTTCAAGGTATATGTTATTGAATAACATATTGGACTTTTAATTTTCTTCTTTCTATGTTAGATTGAATTAAGTTATGATTAATTTGCAGGTTCAAAGTGAACTTAATGAGGAAGACAATCATGGCGTATCAAAAAATTTAAGGTGGCTAGCAGCTGGTCCAAACATGGCAGTGCCATTATATAGGAGCTATCTTATTAAAGGTATTAAATTCAATATCAATGCACAAGATAGCAGAATCTCAGAAAGCAGTAACTGCGGCAATAAATTATAATAACAAAGTTGTTGAATGTCGTCTAGCTTCTGTAAGTTTGATAATCTCT